TCTCATTCTCCACTGCCCCCTTCTTCTTTTGCCTTCAGTCTTTCCCAGCATTAAAGTATTTTCTTGTGAGTCAGCACTTCGCATCAGGTGGCCAAAGTATTAGAGCTTCAGCATGAGTCCTTCCAATGAATATTGAGTACTGATTTCCTCTAGGATTGACTGGTTTGGTCTCCTTGCAGGCCACGGGACTTAAGAGTCTTCTCCAACACCACAGTTCAAAAGCATCAGTTCTTCAGTGCTCAGCCTTCTTGCTGCTCCAATTCTCACATCCATATATGACCACTGGAAAAACCATAGCTTTGACTGTACAGACCTTTGTCAGCAAAGTAATGTCTCTGCTTTTTAATATGCTGTCAAGGTTGGTCATAGTTTCTCTTCCAAGGAGCAAGCATCTTTTAATTTCATGGCTGCAGTCACCGTCTGCAGTGATTTTGGCGCCCCCAAAATATAGTCTGTTACTGTTTCCATGTTTCCCCATCTATTTGCCATGAAGTGATGGGACCAGATACCATGATCTTTATTTTTTGAATGTCAAGTTTTAAGCCAGCTTTTCCACTCTCCTCTTTCACCCTCATCAAGAGGCTCTTTAGTTCCTCTTCATTTTCTGCCCTAAGAGTAGTGTCATCTACATATCTGAAGTTATTGATTTTTCTCCCAGAAATCTCAATTCCAGCTTGTGCTTCATCCAGCCCAGGATTTCACATGATGTATTCTGCATATAAGTTAAATAAGCGGGGTAACAATATACAGCCTGGATGTACTCCTTTCCCTATTTGGAACCAATCCATTGTTCCATGTCCAATTCTAACTGGTGCTTCTTGATCCACATACAGGTCAATGATATAGAATAAAAATTGAGAAACAGTCTGGAATGGAAAAATCCAGAAACAGGCCCATGCTATGCTGTGAATTGCTGTCTGAATTTTTATTAACTTGAAGTAGGCAGAGATTTCCTAGATAGTACACGTAAGTCACTAACCACATACACATACAGACACATATACTGATAGACTGGATCATAAAAATTAAAACTTCTCTTTTTATTCCTTTTTTTATATAAAAAAATAAAAAAGCCTTTTTTTATTCCTACACATGAATAAGTGGAAGACACCCAGTAATATAAATGGATAATGGGCCAAAGGCTTGGACACTCCACAAAGGAAGATGTATAAATGGCCAATGAATTGCCAACCATATGAATATGTGCTCAACATTATTAGTCATTTTAAATAGAAGTTAATACTGAAATGAGATACCACATCACATGTACTAGGATGGCTAAATTAGAAAAGCCATTTATAACAGTTGTTAAAAAACAGTTTGATAGTTTTTTAAAATGATTAAACATACTCTTACACAATGACCCAACAATTTCACTCTTAATCATTGACCCAAAAGAAATGAAAACAACTTGCTACCAAAAGATCTGTACCAGAACAGCAACTTTAGTTCATTCTAGTCCAATTCATTCTAGCTCCAGACTGGAATCAACCCAAAATGTCCTTCGGAAGGAAAATGAATGAACAGATTGTGCTAGATCCACACAACAAAATATCCTCAACTATAAGAGAAACAAACTTCTATTCATCCAACAATATGGATGACGAGCAGAAGTCAGACACAAAGCACTTGTGACTTATTATTTTCATGTATATGAAAGTCAAGTAACAGATAAAATTAACATATGGGGACAGAAAGGACAGTACTATTTCCCTCGGAGAGGCTCTCTGCGTACAAGTGCTCAGAATGCAAGTTGAGGGATATAGAGTGTGCTGTTCTCTTCCTCATTTTTCAAATAACACATCAGTTTTCCACACCATGTCTCCCTTGTGATCTCCACTGCCCCTTCAGGGTTCTGCAAGACATACTGGCTGCTTGCTTTCCTGACCTCTGGGAGCATACTCCACCTTCAACAGTGATTAGCTATCCTCTGACCACTTATCGTCTTACAGATTTTGGTAGAAATCTCTCATCTGCTCATTGCCTCCTGCCATTCTCCTTGTCATTGTGAATCCAACCCCTTTATTAACATTTTAGTGGGGGCTTAATAAAAAAGAAGATAAATGTTTCTCTTCAATCTGAGATTTTTAAGTAGAAATTTTTTCGTGAAAAATTCAACACAGTAATGTGACATTACTTTTCCCTGATGATTTTGGGTACTAGGCTATGGTCTTTCCAGTGGTCATGTATGAACGTGAGAGTTGGACTATAAAGAAAACTGAGTGCCGAAGAATTAATGCTTTTGAACTGTGGTGCTGGAGAAGACTCTTGAGAGTCCCTTGGACTGCAAGGAGATCCAACCAGTCCATCCTAAAGGAGATCAGTCCTGGGTATTCATTGGTAGGACTGATATTGATGCTGAAACTCCAATACTTCGGCCACCTGATGCGAAGAGCTGACTCATTTGAAAAGACCCTGATGCTGGGGAGGATTGAGGGCAGGAGGAGAAGGGGACGACAGAGGATGAGATGGTTGGATGGCATCACTGACTCAACAGACTTGGGTTTGGATGAACTCCGGGAGTTGGTGATGGACAGGGAGGCCTGGCGTGCTGCGGTTCATGGGGTCACAAAGAGTTGGACATGACTGAGCGACTGAACTTAACTGATTGAACTAAACTGAAGTGACAATAATTCTGTATTGATTTGTCTAAGAAAGCTAACATTTAAAATGGGTCTTCATAACATTTAAAAATGTGAAATATTGATTAAACATAAATATCAGACCTATAAAACAACTAAGAACCCAATTATAGACTCAGGTTTAAAATTAAGTTTTAAAATTGAGATGTCTAAAAACATTCACTTCATATAACAATAGCACAGAGAAATTTACATTAGCACATAGTAGAAGTCCCAGGAGAAATGACTGATATTCCTGTGAAATTCCCAGTTTATACCTAATTATACTACTATTAAAACATTTTATCATTTATGAACCAGTTTATAACATAGGATGAAATTTCTCTTTTTTTTAATTTAAAAAGCATCTTAATTGAAGTATAGTTTATTTACAATGTTGTAGTCATGATTCAGTTATACATATAAATAAATATATATATACTTTTTCATATTCTTTTCCCTTATGATTTATCACAAGATATTGAATATAGTTCCATGCGCTATACAATAGGACCTTTTTGTTTATCCATTCTATATGTAACAGTTTGTATCTGCTAATCCAAAACTCTCAATCAATCCTTCCCCCAGCCCTCCTTCCCCTTGGCAACTACAAGTCTGTTCTCTATGTCTATGAGTCTGCTTCTGTTTTGTAAATATATTCATTTATGCCATATTTTAGATTTTACCTATAAGTGATATCATACGATGTTTGCCTTCCTCTTTCTGACTTACTTCATTTAATATGATAATCTCTAGGTCCACCCATGCTGCTGCAAATGGTATCATGTCATTCTTTTTATGACTAAGTAGTATTCCATTGTATATATGTATCACATCTTCTTTATTTATTCCTCTGTCGATGGACATCTAGGTTTGTTCCATATCTTGGCTGTTGTGAATAGTGCCGCTGTGAACACAGGGTGCGTGTATCTTTTTGAGTTGTAGTTATGTCTGGATATGACCAGGAGTGGGATTGCTGGATCATATGACAACTCTGTTTTTAGTTTTTTAAGGATCCTCCATGTTGTTTTCCATAGTGGTTGCACCAACTTACATTCAGACCAACAATGTAGAAGATTTACCTTTTCTCCACACCTTCTTCAGCATTTGTTATTTGTAGACATTTTAACAGTGGCCACCCTGACCAGTGTGAGGAGGTACCTCATCATAGTTTTGATTTGCATTTCTCTAATAATTAGTGATGTTGAGCAGCCTTTCATGGGCCAGTTGGTCATCTGTAGGATGGCATTTCTCTTAACAGCTATATGCAGAGAGGAGACACTATTTTCTATCTTTCTGTGGTTTATCTTCTCTTAGTTAATAAAGAAGCATTTGTTGGTGGGAATGCAAACTAGTACAGCCGCTATGGAAAACAGTGTGGAGATTTCTTAAAAAACTGGAAATAGAACTGCCATATGACCCAGCAATCCCACTCCTGGGCATACACACCAAGGAAACCAGATCTGAAAGAGACACGTGTACCCCAGTGTTCATCGCAGCACTGTTTATAATAGCCAGGACATGGAAGCAACCTAGATGCCCATCAGCAGACGAATGGATAAGGAAGTTGTGGTACATATACACCATGGAATATTACTCAGCCATTAAAAAGAATTCATTTGAATCAGTTCTAATGAGATGGATGAAACTGGAGCCCATTATACAGAGTGAAGTAAGCCAGAAAGATAAAGACCATTACAGTATACTAACACATATATATGGAATTTAGAAAGATGGTAATGATAACCCTATATGCAAAACAGAAAAAGAGACACAGATGTACAGAACGGAATTTTGGACTCTGTGGGAGAAGGTGAGGGTGGGATGTTTCAAGAGAACAGCATCGAAACATGTATATTATCTAGGGTGAAACAGATCACCAGCCCAGGTTGGATTCATGAGACAAGTGCTCGGGCCTGGTGCACTGGGAAGACCCAGAGGGATCGGGTAGAGAGGGAGGTGGGAGGGGGGATCAGGATGGGGAACACATGTAAATCCATGGCTAATTCATGTCAATGTATGACAAAAACCACTACAATATTGTAAAGTAATTAGCCTCCAACAAATAAAAATAAATGAAAAAAAAACTTTAATAAATAAAAATTAAATTAAAAAAAAATTAAGAAGCATTTTCAAGGTTATATTTTTATTTCATTGTTTTTCATTTTTTTGTTTACTCTATTTGGGTTTTGTTACAGTTTTGTTCCAATTTTCAAAAAAAAATTTACTAAAATAGTGTACCAGGTATGTGATATATATATAACTGGTCTCTACTCAGGACCAGTTATCTTACGTGTGTTTGTTCTTTGCAACCTGTCCTTTATATGCAAAATCTTACAGCCTCCATAAGCATCTCATAATCTGGATGAATATTTTCATATGGTATCCTTCCTCCCTAGGATGTCCTCAGAAAATCAGAACATAGACGACAGGCCCTTCTATGAGACTGTATTCAGGCACTTCAAAAGACAAAAGGTGCAGATTTCAAATGCAATAAAAAAGACATTTCCTTTCTTTGAAGGCCTCCGTGACAATGAACTCATCACCAGTAAAATGTATGAAGTAAGTGAAGTTTATTACATCACAATCTGGTAAACTGGCCTGAAACTAGTTTAACTTTCATATACTGGACCCAAATATCAGGGTATAACTAGCCATCTGAAGAGTCTCCAGTGAGAGGGGGACATTTTCAAGTAGTGACACAAGTGATCCTAAAAGGCAGAAAGGGAAGAGAGAGCAGAAACAGGCATCACTGGAGACAGTCCGGTCTCTAACTGAAGGGGTGGTACTCATAGTGAACACAGGAGTCAGGGTGAATAAAATTGGAGACAGGCTGGATCTGAAGTGGGTGTGCTCTGTAGATATTTACTACCTTGTAGGAATGCACACAATGCAGCATAAACTAAATTAATGTCAATGAACTGATGAATAAATTTAATTTATTGATTTGATAAAAATCATAATTGACAGAGCATTTCTTTTCAATGGATGTAAATTTAAATAATTAGATCTGAAAACATTAAAACCCACTGAGACAATGTCGTGTTAGAGCAAATTTGGGAGTAGATGCAGGCTATTTTTCTCCAACAGTTTTCAGCTTTCTTTTTTTCTGGTATTCTTGAGTCTTGGAATTTGAGTTAATTTTTGCAATAGGTGTTTCTGGAGTTAACAGAGATGCAAGTCTTCAGTTTGACCTACAAATATGCTTTCAAACTGTGGCCAAGTTCACAAAATGGAAAACTGTCACCTGGCTTCCTTGAGCTCTTCCCACAGGCCAAGTCAGTATTGGTGAAGGGGCAGGTGTTGTCCAGTCAACAGAACAGTGGCTCATCACCTGCCAAGTCTATTCCTCAAAGAGTTGACAGGCTCTTAGAGAGTTACATATTCATTAACTTTGAACCCACTTTTAGTCTTCAGAATTGTGCCTTCTTATATATAATGTATATGAGGCTGAGGAGATCAGATTCACAAATGGATTGTTTTACAAAGAGAGGATTTATTGTTTCACTTAGTGGCCATACAAATATACAGAAATTCTAAACCTCTACGTGAAAAGATACCTATTTATGGAAACTGGAATACATTAACTCAAAATCTCTTTCTAGGGCTCTCTTGTAACCTGGAAGTCTGTATTTCTATTTTTCCCATTCACTGCCTTTAAGGACTGTCAAGATTCTTGTAGAAACCTGGTCCCTGTACCAAGAGTGGTGTACAATGTCCTCAGTGAGCTGGAGAAGACATTTAACCTGTCGCTTCTGGAAGCTTTGTTCAGTGAGGTCAACATGCAGGAATATCCTGACTTAAGTCACATTTATAAAAGCTTCGAAAATGGTAATTATCTTATTATCTACCTTTTGATGTTCAAGGTCAATTTTGGTCAACAAGTATATATAATGAGCTCCCATCACGTGCCATAATTAGTGCTGAGCAGTGGGGATATAACAGGTAAAAAAACACGCATACCCTAAGTCTTCTCAGAACTCAGGTTATAATGGCTATGGCACAACACCCACCTGGAGGTCTGCTTAACTAGGCACTTAGACTCACAGGAGGAGCAGAGCCACAGTGCCATCTGCTTTAGATAGAAGGACAAATGACAGAGCAGCAGTAGTCTACACAGCATCCACGCAGCTGACTACTACCCACTTTAAGCTTAGCTGTGGGTGCAGGATCCATCCTGGAGTAGCAGCGCCATGTGTATGGGCATCAAAAATTCAGCAACTCCATAGTCATAACCTTCAGGGACCCCAGGAGAGACAAGAGGCACCGCCCTGAAGGAAGACCCAAGAATAGTCCATAGAGAGTCCCATCCATTCTACATGCAATTTACCAGTCACACGTCATTCTTTAACCTTAAACCCAGGGTTGACCTAGTAACACAGACGAGAGTTTACCTTCATCAGATTTTCAGAGTTAACTGAAAGTTAGCTCAAGATCAAATTTGTCCTGAAGGAGAAATGCTTTTACTTAACTTTCTCCACAAAGGGGTAAAACAAACATTGCTTAAATATCACAAAACCTACTGCTCTACCAGACTGTTTTTGATGCTGCACAAAACTAAAGCTTTGGTTCACCACTTTTTCCTGAGAAAGCACTGCTTATACCTGGTACTACATAAGGAAGATGTCCTTCCAAGATTTTTTGTTTTGACTTCACACGAAAAATTTGGCCTCAGCTAAGACTTCCCAAGAGTGATGGAGAATTCACAGGAAGAATGATTCTGTGAGCCGAGGAGAGAGGGTGCTATGGGAATAGGCACAGAGTGAGGAGGGTTCTAGAGTTTCTGGAAAAGGACATGGTCAAGTGGTGTCACTCAGAGTGAGAAGCAGACTGTGGGAGCGGACTCAAGAGGGATGTGTTTGAAAAAAAAGATCTTGAAAGGTCTTAAATCTAAAGGTAAGTAATCTGAAATTTGTTTACTGGGCAGTAAAGAGATACTACTACAGGCATTGCCCCAGGAGGAGCCCCGGCCATCAGCCCTGGGGCAGCCCAGGCTTACCATCCTTTTCCTGGATTCACAGCAGAAACCTATCCTCTAGGATCCCTGGTTTACTTCCTTCTTCCAACATTTGCCAGGGCATCTACATGCAGGGGCTCTGGGCTTGTGTCCTGGTTCTTGTTAGCAGTCTCGTGGGTCCCTAGTCTAGGAGTCATGGGGACGTCCTGCAGCGCTGTAACAGGCACTCCCTGCTTGCAGCTTCAGAGTGTCCTTCTTGTGTCCTGGGATCTGGGGCACCCCAGGGAGGGGTCTAGAGTTCCTCCCGCATCTTCTTGTTTGTCTCTTTGCAATCCACTCATCCCCCAGGACCCAATGAACCCAACTTTCCTCTTATCTAGAACCATCTTTAAAGCTTTGGGGCTTTCTCTTTTATACACACAGATCTCTCTAGGATCCTAGCCCTTCTCCAGAGGAAATCTGTTTCTTTCTTACAGTTTGAACAGTTCAATACACACATTCCACTTCCCTTAGTTATGTAAACATGTGTCATCCTCACAGTGTGACATTTATTGTACATGACCAACAGCCTCAGGATGTTCCCATGACTCCTTTATCCTTACATTCAAGTGGCTCATTTCTGTGCAGAGAATATAACTGCTCCCTTTGCTGGGGTTTCTCTTTTCTGTCCAAGAATGATGGGGGAAATTTATCATGAAGGTTGGGATCCACTAATCTCTGAGTGACCCGAGAGCTGGAAATTTCTAAATGTGCCGTTCTGAGATGATGTTCCTGGTCTCTGGTGGAGATCTCCAATTGTCTTCTCTCTCCCTCTCTTCAGTGATCCACGAGAAAATTAATTATGAAGAAAGTAACGGACAAAAGAGGCCGGCCATCCAACTGAGCCTTGAGCAAGGTGATTGAGACCATGCACAAACCAACTGTCCCTTGCTAAGAGGAAAAGGAGAAGGGGAGGGGGAGGCCCGAGTCCTGAGCAAAGATTGGAAATCAGGGAAGAAATGTTGAAGGACCATGGAGAAGGCAGGGAGGGGTGTTTGTGTGAGCATCTAACCAGAGGCTGAGTCCTCGAGGACTGGCTGTGACAAGAGGCTGTTGCCCCAAATGCCAAGACAAAGGAAGAGGGACCCAGGGTGTCACTAACCAGATTTAAAGAGAATGACTGCCAGGAAGTCATTGTGATTTAGAAAGAATCCTATAGGAAAAGATCAATGTGAAGGTGCGATGAGCTAAGCAGTATGGGCCCAAGGTCAATGTCAAAGAGAAGGCCCTTCATGATGGCAGAAGAAAGGACTGATTTAAATGTGGGGGAGGTTGTTCAGGAGCAGGAATATTCAAGGAAAAAGGCAGTCATATAGATTCAGAGGCAAGGAAGTGGTAGAGAGGAAGAGGAGTGGATGTGGGTGTTTGAGAGAAAGGAGAATAAAAATGTAGCTATTTTCTACCCCAGGGGATCTTCTCGATCCAAGGATTGAACCCAAGTTTCATGTCTCCTGCACTGGCCAGTGGGTTTTTTTGTTTGTTTTACCACTAGTACAACCTGGCAGATAGAGAAATACATAAAGATGGAAAGATACAGAAAAAAAGAATACAAGGGCTGGGGAAAGTGGAGGAGAATCAGACATTGAATCCTCATGGTGAGGCCAACAGAACAGATTAAGCAGATCCTGTACAGGGAGGGAATGGAGGAAGAGAGGGTGGGGGAAGAGGCTCTAGGACTTTGCAGGAAGGTCACCAGTCCTGGATAGCTCTGGGGACCAAGGCAAGTTCACTCTGGCTGTAGGGGTCAAGATAAACCATTGCTGGTCGCTGAAAGGCTGGTGGAGGTCACATGAGGAAACGGCCCGGCTGAGGCACTTTCAACCAGAGGTGAAAGTGCCAGTCTCTAGGATCTGACACACCGGTTAGTTGGAATTTCCCAGATGGTCCAGATAGTCTCCACCTAGACATCTGGAGAAGAAAGAAAAAGAAAGAAAGTTAAGTCATTCAGTCATGTCAGACTCTTTGCGACCCCATAGACTGCAGCCCACCAGGCTCCTCAGTCCATGGAATTTTCCAGGCAAGAGTACTGGAGTGGGTTGCCACTTCCTTCTCCAGGGGATCTTCCCAACCCAGGGATTGAACCCAGGTCTCCCACATTCTAGGCAGACGCTTTACCGTCTGAGCCACCAGTCTTCAACTTCATCTTTATCAAGACTAAAAAGGAATCAGGGAAGAATAGCATAGCTAATACTCCAGTTTCTGAAATAAACTTTTCCTTTCTGCCCCCTAGGAACTGGCGGAGACTTTCATCCCGGCCTGACCTCTTCACAGGCAGTTCCCTTGCCTCGTGATGGTATGTTCCTGGAGACTGTTCTGTGATCTTTGCTGTCGTGTCCCATCTGGGGGTGTGCTATGGAGCCTGCTTCTTTGTGTTACTGACTGTGCAGAATTGTCAGTCTTTGCATCTGCATTTTCTCCAAGGAGTTAGACAACAGAGTCTTAATTCTCTGAGTCGCCTGGGAGGGTTACTCCTTCCACTCCTTGAACATACTTGCTGCCAGTCCCTGAAGGCTCTGGGCCTGGACATTTGACCTAGTCGCCTGGCTTTGCAGGGTTCTGCTCTGTCTTGCTTGGTCCGGCAGCGACCTTAGTGCTTTGATGTCACATCGAGCAGAGGCCAGTGCTACGACCAGAGTGACGGGGATGGGGGAGTGGAGAGAAGCAGGTGATGGGTGGTCCTCGGGGGGAAGGGTTCTTCCCCTGCTAGTCCCTCACATGGACCATGGACACCCCATGACTCCCATACAAACCCTCTCCCATCATACCTGGGGCAGAGACCAGGAGCTGCCCTCCAAACACCAGACAGGCCTCCGAGAAAAACGTTTTGGTACTTTAACAACCAGTAACCGCTATTTACAACACTTTACCTCCATTAATCCATAACACTCTTAATAATGATACTAAATTAATAAGATTAATATCAATTTAAGACATTAATCATAATGATTTCGTTTTTCAGATCAGTCACAGTATTCCAAATAGTGATACAGACAATAATTTATTTAACTGTCTCAAAAATCCCAAAATGAGGTATATAACATCCTCATTTTTCAGATGAGAAAGAATCAGCATAGAGAGCGGTTATTTGTACAAGTTAACCCAGCTGAGAATCAGAATTGAGCGCTGCTGTGTGCAGTGTCACAGCAGGAATTCAGGGGCCTGTGGCCTGGCTTCAGATTCTGCTTCGAGATATTGGGGTAGTAGTCACTCATTGTTCCTCATTGTTCCTCAGTTTCACTGTCTGTAAAATGGACATGGTAATGGTAGCTACTTAGAGGGTGATGGATTTTAAACAAATTATGTCATATGAAGCACTCACGATCTTGCCTGAGGCTGCATCAGTGTGTCCATGCATTTGTTATTATTACTACATTTAATCATCTTCATTGTTTGTGTCTGGTGCCAGAGTCCAAGCTTTTAACCATTACAGTGACCATTTCAGTGATAAAAGCAACACCTACTCCTGACCCAGAAAGATAAATTGAAAGGCACAGTCTCCCCACCCATAGAGCACACTAGTCTATAATAAATTTCATGTCTTTCTTCCATGAGTCTCCTTTGGAAATTAGTAACATAGGAAAGTCTCAGGGAAATTCTCACACTGTGGAAAGCCCTTATTATGTAGCTTCCAGTTGGGATAGATTATTTAAGGAAGGATGTTCTAAGTTATTATTACATTTTTATAAAAGAAAAAAATTTTCAAGTGATTACTGAACGCATAGTTATACATTTAGCAAGTGACATTTATTCAAAAAGTTAACATTTAAGAATATAAAAAAACACAACATGCAAAAATCCATACTCTTAGCTGCTCATCTACTAGTGCAGCTGATGGGACTAGGAAGGGGTGAGTGAATGGAATTGTGACAAGTAATGACCAGAAGAGAAGGGAGTGTGTGTGTGTGTGTGTGTGTGTGTGTGTGTGTGTGTGTGTGTGTTTAGGGTGTGGAGGGAGGAAGCAATGAAGTCTTCTAAAACTCAAAGTGTGGTCTGGGGGCAATCCTGTCAGGAAATGAAATCCCAGAGCATCTTGATGATGGGGAGTAAGGAATATAAAGAGAGAAACTTCAACCTAGGACCCAAATGGTACACAGCAAGTCACCAATAAGTGTGTCCAAGAGTCTGACCCAACAAGAAGGGCTGATGTGCCCAGGTGAGAGGAGGGCTGTGTCTCACATCCCCCCCCACCCCAAGGGGAGGCTCCCAATCCTGAGGATGTGGCACAGAACAGGCACCAGGGCCCACAGTCTATATTAAAACTTTGGGAAATAATTTAAAATCACGTTTTACATTAATTAATTTGTTTACAAAAGTAGCACTAAATGAAAAATCCAAACCGCAGTGAAAAATATGTCTATGTGTTCATACATTATTGAAACTGGAGGGAACAGAGTGGGAGGGGTTGATGGAGTCAGTGAGGTCCAGAGATGGTTGCCATGGAGAAAGGGTGTGTGTGCTGGTCCTGGGTGGTTTGCCCAGGGACTCAGTCCTTTCCCTCCTCTGCTCTGCTCGGCCTGCTGTCTCTGGCCACTGGCCCCCGCGGACTTGGCTGTCAGCTCCCCTTGCTGCTGACTCCCTGCTGGGTTCCTAACATGGAGACCCTGGCAGGAGAGTGGGAGTAAGTGGGGAGCCAGGTGTTTCTCCATCACCGCTTCCGGCCGCAATTCTGGCAGCAGCCGCATCTCAGCCTTGACTGCACCTTCCACGAAGCAGGCAAATCGTGGTCCAGCCTCTGCCCGCCCAGTGACCTCAGCCCATGATCTCATCCTCCATCCCTCCCGCGGCTTCCTGTTTACTCTTACTCCTCTTTATATCCTCACATTCTTCCACTTGGTCTTCTCCGCTCTTCCATCAGCTGTGCAACCAATCCCTGGATTAAATTCCCTCTGCTCTAAAAGCCTAAAGTGGTTTGTATCTTCCTGTTGGATGCTGATGGATGCGGGAGGGAAAAAAAAACTGATGAATCAAAACATGATTTAGGTATGACCCCACGTGAAAATGGACTCTCGGATCGCCTCAGTGAAACAGAGAAGATGAATGCGAAGATGAAAGATAGAACCAGTGACCAAAATGGTGCTCTAGAAAGCCAACAAGCAAATGAACAATGTTCACAAGAGTCTGAACCAGCAGGTAAGACTGACTGACTGGGTTTGACGAGTGTGGAGGGGAACAGGCAAGTGGAGGGACTTGGTGTGTTGGACAATGGCACAGGGGAAGCCTTTGGTGATGGTTAGAATGCTTGAGATGAAGAAAATATAGAAAGACAAAATTGGTATAGAAGAGGCATACACCAGTCATGTCAATAATTAAGAAGCAAAGACTCGGAGAAGGTAGGAAGTATAATAGTGGATAAGCTGAGCAGCTAGGTAGAGGACAGCAGGGCCAGGCCTAGGATGAGGCAGGGAGACCCTTTCTTATGAGATGTGAGAACCATCTCATCCTAGGCACCTTCTTTGCCTCAACTCTAGACCCTGCAGGGCCCTGTGGGACACTGACTTAAAATGTAGAGAAAAGAGCATGCATAAATAAAGATACAAAAAAAAAAAATGAACACCAAAAATATAGGGAAAAAAATGGGGGAGGCACCAAAAGAGAGCTCCACAGAGAATGAGTAAAGGGCAACGTGGACCAAGCACAGAGGAAGGAGAGAAGTGGAGACATTGTCCCGTTTGAGGAGGCAGTCATTTGAATGAAGGCACAGGGGCTGTTCCTAACACCATTGAGAAAGATAAGGTGTTCTCAATGATCAAAATGGCCCGGTAACCCCTCAGACAAAAATAAGATTCTCCCCAGGAAGGGAAAGACAAAAGAAGAAAGCCCAGAGCTGAGGGAGGAACAAAGGAAGACATGGAATCAGTTTGGGGAAGAGGTTTTGCGGATTTTCTGTCCCCTCCCTTGTTTCTCTAGAGTCACTTCTAAAGTCTAAAGTCACTTCTAAAGTGGTCTGAAACTTCAGGGACTCTTCCGTATATGAGTGCTAGTTTGGATTTAAGCTTGAGTCATCCCATGTCATCCCAGGAATGTAGACAATGGAAGGAATACCTTTCTTGTAGTTTCAGCTATAGACTGAAAAGCTGGGGGAAGAAACTTCATTTTCTTCTTTTGCACAAATCAGAAAAACAGCTACTGTGTAGACTTTCCTTGTTGATCTCAGCAGATGAACTGGACTGATAGTGTTTATTCAGATTTAAGACATTATTTGAATCTTGGTTTGAGTAGACTTGGGATCTATCTGTAATATTAACTAGATCAGATTGCTTTTATATTTTCACATGTACACAGAGGATCGCCTCACCCTTGTCAACATCCATCAGTTATTGAACTTTGTGAACTGGCCTTGGAACATTACAACAATGTTTTGTTGCACCAATTTTATAAACTTCTGCAGTTCAATATGTGCTGTTTTTCAGAGACAAAGCAAAGTTTAATTTGTCAAGATTCATGCTCTTTGTTTTAGCAACATTTGATAGAGGATCTTTTACATACATTTGTAATTGATAAAAATAAACCAAATTGCAAATTTGCTTTCTTTCTTTTTTAAGCAAACCATGTACCAAGTTTTTTGGTTCAGATGGCATAGACTAAGTTAAATTGCATTCTGTTAACCAAGATGAGTATATTTCTGTAAGTATAAATATGTTGAAATAAGGTTTTAAAACACACACACACAGAGGAAGGGACAGAGTGAGCAGCAGGAAGGAGAAGGGTGGGTCGGAGCTCCCCCAACCCCAGAAGTGGGATTACAGGGAGCAGACTTCTTAATGCTAGTGAACGGTGCTCACTTCTTTTTGGGGAGACAAATTAAAATTCTTCATTCATTAAAATTTGATCAGGAGCAAAGCCATTCAACCATGGACTACAAATCAATTCCTGTTCTGTCCATCTAGTGGATATAAAGAAGGAAAAGCCATTTTTTAACTCAGAAGTTCAACTGCAAGCCCAGGCAAGGACTGACTATAACCAGGTGTCTGACATAATAGGTAAGGCTGACAGAAAATGGAGCGGGGATCAAGGGAACCAGGCAAGAGGCTGGGGCATCAGGGGCCAGCCAGCCAGTCCAGGTGGCCTTGGGCAGAGGAAGGAAGGGCAGGGAACCAGAACCTTGTGCTGTGAGTTCAGCGGAAGAGGTTCCCCAGGGACCAGAAAAATATCAGAAGATGGGTTATAAAAGTATTGATGACCAGGAGACTATTTCCAAAGTAAGAGAGGAGAGTAGGGGGGTAGAAGATAAAGAAAAGGGAAAGACCAGAGAGCCAAGATATTCATGAGAGGAGATGGAAAAGAAAAAAATGAAGACAGAGCGAGGCATAAAGAGAGACAGTTCCCAGAAAGACAGGTGTAAGTAGGGAAAATGGGCAAAGCCAGGAGGAAAGGGAAGAGGTAAAATGAGAATGAAAGAAAGAGGTAGAATGGAGTAGAGGGTCAGAGGTAGGTCTAGGGTGGGGGTGAGGGTAGCAGGAGGGTGGGGGAGGGGAGTGTGGCAGGATGGGCAGAGCCACCCTCTGCGTGTGAGCGTCGTCACCTTTCATGCAGGACCGGGAGCAACCTGCAGCTCACCCACATTCAAGTACAGACCACGTGCCTTGAATTAACTTAGCTTCTAGGAGCTTCCTGCTGCGTGGGCTCCACCATGAGATCTAAGGGGGTTTGTTCCTCTGTGCAGTGATCAGCAGTGAGGACTCTGCAGAATCCAGTGATGGAGATGAGTTCCCAGAACCCTCCACACCAACACCAGGAAGGGCGGCTGGTAAGGAAGGGGGAGAGCAAGGCCAGGCCTGCAGGAATCTGCAGGAGAGCTACAGGGATACCCTGCCGCGCGTGAACTAGACAGCTAGTGGGAAGCTGCTGTAAGCACAGGGAACTCAGCTCAGGGCTCCGTGGTGGCCTAGACGGGTGGGGTAGTGGGAGGGGGGGAGAGAGGTTCAAGAAGAAGAGGATATGTATATACATGTAGCTGATTCACTTCTCTGTATAGCAGAAACTATCACAACATTGTAAATGACCAAAACCTAATAGAAAAAAAGATTGTTACCATTGCAAGCCCATCTGTCTTGCAAGTTATCATAGAAATTATAAGACTTTGGGGGACAGATAACTGTTTCTTCCTCTTACTTGGTAGAGACTGTGTTGTTTAGTTAGTAAGTCGTGTCTGACTCTTTGAGACCCCATGGATTGAAGCCTGCCAGGCTCCTCTGTCCATGGGATCTCCCAGGCAAGAATATTGGAGTGGGTTGCCATTTCCTCCTCCAGGGGATCTTCCTGACCCAGGGATCGAACCCGAGTGTCCTCCTTGGCAGGCGGATACTTTACTATTGAGCCACGTGGGAAGCCAATGTAGCCCGATTAAGACAGAGCCCAGGAACTTCAGAAAAACAACCACATCCAGAAAAAGGGCTTGGCAAAGAGGTAAGAGCAAATAAAATCTCACCACTGTTGTAAAGGAGCAGTGTTAAATGACCCATTCTAATTGTTTGCTCTACCCTTCAAAGTGAAATATAAACTTGCTCTAATTTAAGATGGTTCATATTTCGCTTCCGTATTCATCAGTTAGGCTAGTGACTGAAATAAACCTGAAGAAGTCAAGGACTCAAAAACCATAGAATTTTTATTTCTTGTCAAGTAAACATTGCAAAGAGTTTTAGATGAGGGGGTGGGGTGTGGGGCGATGGGGATCTGTTTAAGTAGTCTGGCGGGAATAGCCAAGTGGGAGATCCTCCTTCTTCAAGACCAGACTTGGTCTCTCCAAGACTGCCCTGGGAGAGAAGCAATGCTAAAAATAGATACATAGATACCAAAACAGCAACAACAAATCTATAATGGAGCAGTGAAAAAAGAAAAACTGTGATGTAAGAAGATGAAGGGCTGGGACTTCCCTGATGGTCCAGTGGCTAAGACTCCATGGTCCCAATGCAGGGGGCCTGGGTTCAATCCCTGGTCAGGGAGCTAGATCCCACATGCCACAGCTAAGAGTTCGCAAACTGCACCTAAAGATTCTGCAAGCTGCAATGAAACCTAGCACAGCTAAATATTTAAAAGAAGAAGAAGATGATGATAAAGGGCCAATGCAAAGCAATGAAGCCCTGTGAGTAAAGTTTTCTCAGTTGCAGGCAATGTAAGGGGATAAAATACAGGCCTACAGATCATATGAATATAAAAGACAGATCATGATGGTCTGATCGAGGAACATTCTAAGCCTTCATTTTCAGAGCTTCCCAGGTTTTTTCCTATATTGGTCCCTTTGTCACACACGGAGAACTTACAAAGGACATTTTCTCCATTCTGCAGTGATGCTGAGTGAAGACTCTTTAGAGGCTAGCGAGGACGAGGCACTCTGGGGAACACAGAGCTCAACCCTGCGGAGTGGTCCTGATGAGGGTAAGGGCTGCCATCCCTGGGCTCCGGACATCAGGAGTTTTCTAGTGCAATTTACTCTGAGCACACTCCACACATCTGTTCAGTGACCCTTCAGAGCCCATTCTCTGCACTTACTCCTGTGACTATTCTGAAAATTGCAAAGAAACCCTTGTAAATTCAGATTAACAAAATGGCTGTAGGTGAATGGCACTGTTGTTTTACTGCATGCTCTCAGATGTATTACATCTGAGATGTATTACCCCACAAAGTACTAGTGATTTCTGCCTCTGCCCACCCGCTATTTGTAAAGAGCAAAGTGAAGTAGTCTGCCATTGCTTGATTCACTTGTCTGTTCAAAACTTAGAAGTTTCTGGCCACGCTCCCCAAGTATTAACAAAAGTAAGAGCTTCTGGTTATTACCATCAGATTTCATTTATGGCTTTTGACAGATGACCCCCCAACATGGCAGTGGTCTATATAATGATATTTGAAAATATTTTCTCCAATAAAATATCCTTTTATATTTACAACAACCTATTATAAAAGGTAGATCAGAAAACTGGTTCCCTCATTTCCCAGTTGAGGAGACTCCAGCACATAAACATTTAAGGATCTTTTACATATCACATAGAGAAAGTTATCAGAAGATGCAAGACCAATAACTTAGACTCTTAGCAAACACTTGCAATTCTTTATTCAAAATCTTTAACACAACATTGTAAAGAAACTAGACTCCAAAAATATTAAGTAAAACATTAAAACAAAATCTTTACAGGCAGATATAAAATAGAAATGTTTTACTATTTTAGAACAGTGTGATGTACACCCTATATGTTACAAAACACCCCAGTAAGGTCTGGGACAGAATCCCATGATTAAATATACCATATTAGTGTTCCTGTAGCAAATTGTGTGAATTCACATCAATTGTGATATTTTATTGGACTCCTGGCAGCTGAAGTCTAGATTCATTGGCAAATTAGTTAGCTGCAAGTCTATGGAAAAAAAAATGTTGGTTTTCAAAACTTCTTTGATTTTGCAATCAGGGCTAAAGGATAGGGGATATTCACTCCATTTGGTAGTGATCACTTTCCTTTAGATGGGGAGAAACAGAAATGACCATCATTGCATCTGTATAGCCCATGTCCTGTCTACAATGTGAGTAATCATAAGATTTACTACTCTTTTAGTTACAGATTACTGATTTTACTTTCCTTTGCTTCCTAGATCCTACAGATATTGGAAACACATCGATTCGCAGTAGAAGTAATAGGAAAAGATGTAAGAACAATTAAAAATTTTTGATGTAACAAATACCTTTTTTAGCTACAAAAGCTTCATTTAGCTTTTTGGCTATACCCCTTGAAAATAAAATGATACATTTCTAGGTGTTTTCAATAATTCATATTATACATTTTGAATTAGAGGAGCTGAGCTAACTGATGTAACAGGTAGGCCTCAAGAAGTTCAGTGTCACAAGTGCAATACAAGTTTATTCTTCACTCACATCAAAGGATAAAGCAGTTCCCAGGTTGGAGGGGTGCTCATTGAGGGCCCAGCTGATGGAAGCTCTGACATTGAAAATGTTGCTTCCAGGGTCTTTCTGGATAAGAAACAGAGTGAAAGCAGGAATGTTAATATATACCGACAAGAGGAAAGGGTAAGAGCTAGTGACCAAAGGGAGTGCCTTCCATAGCAAAGTTATGGCCACTCCCAGCCTTGGGGATGGTTCCTGGAACAACCTTGACCACCAGGTCAGATGGAGCCACAGGGTGACCTGGTGGGAGAATTATCCTTAACCCTCTTACACAAGCTTCCCTTTTTCAAATTTCCTGTTAAAGAATTCCATGCTGTATTGGTCCTAGGTCACAGACTGAGATTGTAAAGGACTTTTATTTCTTTCTGCAGGGATGTGCAGTAGTGATTCTTCAGACTTGAGTAACGAAGGAGAGCCTTAGGCAACATCTAGTTCAGCCCTAAGAAATGGGTCAGGTAAAGAAGATTAGGATGTCCAGCCTTGGCCTGCAACATGTCAGGAGTGAAAAGCCACTGTTTTGAAGACCTTTGTGTCCTGTTCATCCTGGAACTCCCTTCAGCATTTTAAAAAATGGAATAAGGCAGGAAATTTGTGAACTCATATTTAATAGGATAAATCCTATTGATGAAATTATATTTTGCATATTGAAATTATATAGTGTAATTAAATATTGCTTTTGCAGGAGAAATAAATAGCAAGTTGAGTTGATAGTATCTTTTTTTAACACTGCCAACTACTAACTGGCCCTTGCCAAGGGCATCTGACAGCAATTGAACAATGACAAAAACAAGGACATTTTCCCTCTGCCTCTGCAGAGACTGAAACCTATGCTGCTGCTGCTGTTGAACGTCACATCTGCTGAGGGAGTTCAATGTGGAGTGAGGCACTCTGTGCTCCACAGAATCTGGTGGGACAGGTCTTTAGATAATTTGACATTTTCAGGAACTGATTGCGTATGTGCTGTGCTATGTTCAGTTGCTTCAGTCAAGTCCAAATCTTTGTGACCTCATGGACTGAAGTCCACCAGGCTCCTTTGTCCATGGAATTTTCCAGGCAACAATACTGGAGTGGGTTCCCATTTCTTTCTCCAGGGGATCTTCCTGACCCAGGGATCAAACCCGTGTCTCCTGCTTGGCAAGCAAGTTCTTTAACGTGGAACCACCAGGGAAACCCATACCTATAGATATATCTATACCTAACGTGGAACTACCAGGGAAACCCATACCTATAGATATATCTATACCTAACTGTATCTATCTATCTATCTATAGTGTGCTCCAATAGTGCTATTGCTAAATTTCCACATGTAGGAAACTAAACAAGATACAGAGGGTTTCACTAGTGGGTGAAATTGGCATTCACACAGGGAGAAATGGTAAGCAGAACTGTAGATTTTGGTGGCTACTGCTAAGTGCCACTAATGCATTGAAAGGAGTAAATGATAGGCTTCGATCTATCAGTCAAAGCAAAGAAACTCTCCTACCTGCAGCTGGAAGGCAGAAAAAGGAAGATTGGACACAAGCCCCAGTTTTAGGAATGGCTGACCATTGGAAAAGACTGAGGCCTAGACTCAGGCTGGCCTCCTGTGCTGACGGCAGGGCCCTCATAAAGCAGGAGTGAAGCCATGCATCAGAACCAGGCTTTCTATACAGGTGTATGTGATAACCTTGAACTCCAGGAAGTCTGCCTCAACCTACTAGGCCTGCAGATGTGTCCCCTACCACTGGTTGGAAGACAAGCCCGCCCCCACCCTTCCCCCATCCTGATCTTGCTTGAATGAAGACCCTGCAGAGTTCTCCCAGCAGGACCCCACTGGTCATCCTGCCAGCTGCAGAGGATTTACCCCAGCGGAACTGCAGGACTCGCCAACATGTATAGCAGGTACCAGGAGACTGGGTCTGGGGGTGAGCCCTGGACAAATAAGTGGAATATGAAAATGCAAAAGGAAAAATTGTTAACCCAGAAGCACTCCCCTGGGCTTCCCTAGGGACTCCGTGTTAAAGAGTCCGCCCACCAACACAGGAGACACAGGTTCGATCCCTGATCCAGGAAGATCCCACATGTCACGGAGCAACTAAGCCCATGTGCCACAACAGTTAGCCTGTGCTCTAGAGCCCAGGAGCTGCAACAACCCAAACCCTCATGGCCTAAAGCCTGTGCTCCGCAACAAGGGAAGCCACTGCAATGAGAAGCCCATGTACCACCACTAGAGAATAGCCCCTATTCATTACAAGTAGAGAAAAACCCAGGCAGCAATGAAGACCCAGCACAGCAGGAATAAATAAATAAACAAATAAAATTATTTTTAAAAAATCCAACCTAGCCAAATAATTAATTAATTAATTTTAAAAAGAATTACTTTCCTATGCCAAGAAGATTAATTACCCTGGCAAGGGCCAAGGGTATTCAAGTATGTTCCTGCTGGTTCCCAAAGGCTTGGTAAAAACCATGATACACACTAGATGAAGTGGAAGCAGAGATACTAGACATGCCAGGGCAGACTGTGTAAAAAGGGGGATCCAAAAGCCTAGGAGGTTGGCACAGCTCTACTTTCTACAACTGGAAAACCCTCCACCAAGTGACTGCTCCTCAGGAGGCCTCAGAGACACTAACTCCACAAGGTGATAAGGAGCACACAGCTGAGGGGCACTAGCATCCTTGAGATGCCCAGGCTGTCCTCTGGTCCTCTGTAGATTGGCATAATGAAAGAATGTCTTACAGAACTGGATTCCCTAGTAGCAATGGGAGTGATTTTGTTGTTCAGTCAGTCAGTCATGTCTGATACATTATGACTCCATGAACTGCAACATGCCAGGATTCCCTGTCTTTCACTATTGCCCGGAGTTTGCCCAAACTCATGTCCATCAAGTCGGTGATGCCATCTAACCATCTCATCCTTTGTTGTCCCCTTCTCCTCCTGCCCTCAATCTTTCCCAGCATCAGGGAATGATGAGTCAGCTCTTCTCATCAGGTGGCCAAAGTATTGGAGTTTCAGTTTCAGCCTTGATAGGATTCCAGAATAATAGAAGCTGGGTGGCAGCAAGGTAGAAAGTGTCAGAGCAAGATGAAGTCATTATTATAATGTGCAGTAAGGTTAGATGACAGCAGGGATGCTGGCTCATAGATGTCCATGTAGATAGATCATAAACATGGTGTCCAGGAAGACAGATGGGCAGCCAACAAGTATATTTCCTTGTGTATATCATCAAAAGAGATTAAAAATAGATGAACAGATGGCTAAGATCAGCTCCCCAATAAAAAGTCAAGATCCCCTGTCCAGTTTCCAGACCTGAGCTAAATCTAGGACCTGCTCATGGAAATGAGGGCAGGTGTCATAAGAAAGTGATTCCCCAAGCTTCACCAAAGGCATCTATTGCCATTGATTCAAGTAACCAGATGCCAGACAAGGAAAATACTCAGATCTCTTATCAGTTGTTGATACAAGATCTGAGTTGATGCTGGAACCTGGGGGCCCAAAGCATTGTCATGGTGCCTGTTAGAGTGGAGTGTATGATGAAAGGTAATGTCCATCTAACAGTGAGCCCACTCAATCCAGGGGGTCACTGGGCAGTCATTACCCAAGTTCCTAAATGTATAATCCGGACAGCCACAGTAGTTGCTTAACTGGTGTCTTAACCCATAGTTCTTATCTATGAAATAACAATGATATCTTAGGAAAGGCCAAGTAGAAAGTTCTGAAACTAAAGTTTCTCATGGTAAAATAGAAAGTTGGAAGGAATATTCATTCCTGAGAAATGAAAAAATAACATAGATTAATGCCAAGTGCAAAGATTTAAGGATGTAGGGGTTATGTTGTGCAGTCACTCAGTTATGTCTGACTTTGCGACCCCATGGACTGCAGCACATGACCCCATGGACTGCAGCACACCAGGCTTCCCTCTCATTCACTATCTCCTGGAGTTTGCTGAAACACATGTCCATTGAGTTGGTGATGCCATCACCATCTCATCCTCTGTCGTCCCCTTCTCCTCCTGCCCTCAATCTTTCCCATCATCAGGGTCTTTCCAAAGAGTCGGCTCTTCGCATCACGTAGTCAAAGTATTGGCCATCTCTTTCCAATGAATATTCAGGACTGATTTCCTTTAAGATTGACTGGTTCGATCTCCTCCTGATGTCTGCAAAAGCTACATGGTTCATGGCTCCTGTTGAAGTTGCTCAGTTGTGTGCGATTTTGCGATCCCATGGACTGTAGCCTAACGAGCTCCTCCGTTCGTGGAATTTTCTAGGCAAGAGTACTGGAGTGGGTTGCCAGTTCCTTCTCCAGGGGATCTTCCTGACCCAGGGATCAAACCCAGGTCTCCCGCATTGCTGCTGCTGCTGCTAAGTCGCTTCAGTCATGTCCAACTCGTACCAACCCCAAGGACTGCAGCCCACCAGGCTCCTCCGACCATGGGATTTTCTAGGCAAGAGTACTGGAGTGGCTTGCCATTGCCTTCTCTGCTCCCGCATTGCATTGCTTTACTCTCTGAACCAGCAGAGGTTCATGGTAAGTGGATGACTATTATAAACCTAACATGATTGGGGTTTATAGAAAGCAATACTCGGGCCTTGGTAGATCATATTCCTGCTTGCTGTGGGGCCTAAATAAAGATCCTAGCTAGTGGCTCTGCCCTTCTGTAGAACTAAAGCCAGTGGTCCCATCTGGTCAGAGAGCTCGGTTGGCAGTTCTGCTTGATTTGGGTCCCAAGTTGTGCCAAGCAGCAGGTTCTACCACCCAGCCCAGGTGGAGAAATGTACTGTAACCTTGCCCATCTGCTGAGTGAAGCTTCCAGTTTTGGTAATTCAGAAAGTCTGGCCAGGTAATCCAAGTAGCCCAGAAACAAGCCTATGATGCCACCTGCCCACAGAGCCCTCTCTACAGCCCTGCCCAACAACAGAGCCCCGTCCAGTTGCCAAACACAGCCTATTATCTCGTGCATGCAGGGAGCCTAACCAGTGAGTTACTCTAGTCATGGAGCAAAATTTGTGGCCCCACCCAATGAGGACACCTAGAGAGCCACACTCCAAATGTAGAGCAGTTTTGACCCCCACCCAACTGCAGGAAACTACTGGAGCCCCCTCAAACAGAGAGCTTGGCAAGAAATCATCCCCACGGCAGGGAATAGCTAGCAGTATGATCCTGTCTGTGGCCTCTTTTAACTATGGAGTCTATCCAGTGGCACCACCAGGCTGGCAGCATAGCCTGAAACTCTGTCCAACCAGGAGCTATGGCAGAGCCCATCTTGTAGCCTCACCTAATTGCTATTGTTGTTGTTCACTCGCTAGGTTGTGTCCCACTCATTGTGACCTCATGGACTGCAGCGTGCCAGGCTCCTCTGTCCTCCACTATCTCCCAGAGTTTGCTCAAATTCATGTCCGTGAAGTCAGTGATGCCATCCAACCATCTCACCCTCTGCCACTGCCTTCTCCTTTTACCGTCCATCTTTCCCACCATCAGAGTCTTTTCCAATGACTCGGCTCTTCACATCAGATGTCCACAGTATCAGAGTTTCAGCTTCAGCAATAATCCTTCCAATGAGTATTCAGGGTTGATTTCCTTTAGAATTGATTGATTGGGTCTCCTTGAAGTTCAAGGGTCTCTTAAAAATCTTCTCCAGCACCACTATTTGAAAGCATCACTTCTTTGGTACTCAGCCTTCTTTACAGTCAAGCTCTCACATCCATACATGACTACCAGAAAAA